TGGTCTATACTTTTTTTAAACTCTTTCTTTCTTATTCAAATCGACATAATTATTTGTTACAATTCTCATTCAAACTAAGAATTATTTTCGAATCAACTATCAAGGATTCTGTCAATCATTATACTTAAGATCTTCAGTTTTTAAAAAATCTCGGTGGTATGTAACGGCATAATCACAAATAGTGGGTGTTGCATTACACAAATGCACAAAATTAACATTTTCCTCTAAAATACTTATCTAACACGTTCACTCTAAATTTTCTATAATGACGTAGGTCATTTAAAACCTCTTTAAATGACAATGTCATGTGTTTCTTACCCTCATAAAGGTTCCTTTATCCTTCACAAACCGAGAGCCGTTTGTAGTCATGTCCGGGACAATATAAACTTTAAAATGTCACGTGGTCACTGAAATTGTGATAAGCACACGCTTTGAGAGTATTGTTACGTAATTTTAGGGAAATTCGATGGTTTGTTAAGAGTATTGGTAGGTTTTGAAATGGATAGTTGGCGCTTGAATTGATAAATAAGGGTGTTTCAAGATAAGCAGGGGTAGGTAGAAGGATGGTTTTTAGTCAGTTATAGTCTGATACTGCCTCTCGCCTTAACCAAGGTGGGAGAAGTCATTCGATAATTTTCAAAGCTTATGTTTATTTAGATTTTTGCTTAAGACATAGAAATGTTACATTACTTTTCCCTTTTAATTTTTTTTAAATACCTGACATGACTCCTAAAATTTTTACCAGTTTCGCAAGTGCATTTTCAAATAAAAATTTTCACACATAGGTACGTCACACGTAGACTCGAAATGAACAATAGTTTGTGAATCACACAAACAAATTTTAACATAAAAGATGTTTCGCCTTCAAGGTAATAATTATGTACTAGTCTAACATAATTTATATTGTAATTAATTACAATAATGTACATAATACGTTTACAAGTTATGAACCTACAAGCTTTAGAAACAAGGGTGGATTATCCTTGTTCAGTTAAAGCTGGGGCGTTATTATTTAATTTTAAGAGAACATGGTTTACGAGAAAACATGTATTGTTAGTTTATTTATCTTTCAGTTGATGTTGATTTGTATAATAAACAATAATTACAATGAATTATTACGTTTTCGGCTTACTCACGTAATAATTTGAGGAACTTGACTAGTTTCAAGCCATGCTAGAGGCTCATATTCATGAGCAGCATTTCTGCTACTCGTAGCAGCACTCGTAGTAGCAGCGCGACTGTAGCCGCGTTACGGGTCGCGAAATAAAACGAAAGTTACAATACAAAAAAATTACAATAAATTTCCTCAATAGAAGGAGACATACAAAACTTGAAAACATTTTACTCATTAACTTTCAAATATAGAAAATTTCAAGCTTAGTATATGAATAAATCAGTATGAGAGACTCATGCTTCAGTCCGAAGTGATACCATGGTTTTACAGAAAACCGACGTGAAACTACAGCGTTGTGTTTCGTCGTGTGAGGTCACTGGAGGTCCAATTAGCCCCCCCTCCTCAACCTCCCCATTCCCAAGTGTCTAGCAACGCACTTGTGACACCTCTGGTGTTACGGGTCTCCATGGGCGGAGCCGCATTGCTTGCAATCGAGTGAACAGTCTGCTCGTTTACTAGCTTAAGTATTATGTAAAAAAAAATAGTGCTAATATGCTAATATTATTTAATTTTCTTTTTTATGTTAGTCCAGTTGTCTTTTATTGAACTCACAATCCTTCTACACTACAATTTTTGACAACTGGTTACTATAGAAACAGGGCAACATAATTATTAGGTATATAACCTACGGGTTGTGACAAAATTTATGCTTATAACAATCCCTCATAAAATGAAAATATGGACCAACCATAAAAACCCTCATCACCTTTAAAACTTCAAGGATATTGTGTTAAAAGAGTAAATTTTAAACAAAAACGAAAGAAGAATGTACATTTTATTTTTTAATTTTCGGATTTGGTGCCATAATTACATACGCATAGATACCATAATTATAATAATTATGGCAACAACAAATACATGTGTGAAATGTGACGCTGTAAAATAGATGATATTGTGTTAGATTAACAGGATTATACAACTTTATACCTTATTTAAATATTGATAAGGACGTATTTATCCTATTGAACTAATTTTCCTTGTTTCCCATTATTTTCGTGAAGTAACCAAAACTTGAAGATTATCTTTTGTTTACTCGAAAAGTTGATAATGAGCTAATTTTTGTTTTTCTGAATCATATTACTTTTTGTGTGGGTTTGTAGGTACTTATTATAAATTCAGTTGAATTAATATTAAATAATTATTGGATTTGATTATACTGGCTTGTTACTTCTTGAGTGCCAACACCATAGATATAATAAAGAAGAACACGGACTTTTTGGGTTGAGTTAGATTTTACTTCGATAAAATTTTCTTCTATCAAAATTTTTGTTTCATGTCAAGACTTTTGAATTGATTACATGATCAAGGAGAATTTGTTCATAAGGAGGTTGTTAACATGAGCCAATCAACATAACTATGACAAAATCACAAAAGCAATCGTTTTTACCATCGTTGGGTAAAAACTAAATTATGCAACACTCATAAATCAAAATCTTAAACTAAATATATATATCTCTGCTAAAAAACATTATGGAAACTTCCATTAATCTGAAAAGACAAATACAGAGGCGATTCGATATTCCTCTTCCATTTTTTAACCGGACAAATATTGCTTATACCCCTCAAGCCAGTAATTGAATATTTTAGTGGCTCTTCAATAGAAAGCTTGGGGAGGACAGCAAATATTCGCATTCAGCTCTAAAAGACTGCATAATTCAATAAAAAGTGCATTTCTCTTCTGTTTGTGAGACAGATGAACAAATGTATGAGATAGGATGATAGATCTTCTTCTACTTATGTCTTCTGTTTTCGATCTGTTTTGTCTTTTGTCAGTTTTAATGCAGTTTCATGATCAGAATAGGGTAGTTTCCTAAATTTTATTTTAATGTCCGTATGGTACATTAATTTAAAACTTTAGACACGTATTTTTTATTTTCTCACAAAATTAATTAATTTCGACGTTATATTAATTTGAAATATCGTGTGACGTCACAGCGTGCCACATTTTGTAGCACGTTAAGACGTAACGACCTTCCCACATCTAAACTTACACCCATTTTCTCTAAGTATTGCAACTTAATACGAGAAAAAAAAGACGTGTCTAATATTTTTTCAATATCTAACTGACGGACTAATTAGATTTTGAATTTTGATACCCTGGAAACTACCCAATATCACTGTTTTTTATATTTGATGAATTGACGCTCGGCCACTATCTCGCGTGGTGGTAACGATGACGCGGCCTACATGAATTTTGTTAAATAATTAATCAGGTTGCATTTCTACTTATCCCTTTCAAGAATTGTAGTCATCATGATATGTAAATGTAGGTACATCACCTGTCCCCAAGGTTTTACTAGAGGTGTATTTATCTTTCCTTCATTCTTTATTCAACACGATCTCTCCCATGGGATAGCAGCCTTGTCGTTCTTTTAAGTCACTTCGAAGTATATTTTTCTTAAAAATAATAAAATATTGTCTGCCTTAGTTAATTTGGCCTTCACTACATCAATAACCCTCCCCCCTATCCCCAAATCCCCGAATCCCAACAATCCTCCAATTTTTGTAATAACTATCGGGAGACATACTTAATTAACTAAAAATTGGGGTGAATAACCCGCGATTTTAGTTAATCCTCCAATTCCTAATACCCAAAAGGCCGGTAACACCTCGTGCGTTTCGGGCGCGGTGCCGATTGCTTACCATCAGGTGATTCGTTTGCTCGTTTACCGGATTATTCCATAAAAAATCTTAATTATAATATTTGTCAGTGATGTTGTCGTTGTCTACATTTTTGTCAATTCTGTAATCTAAATTAACGTAGTCCATTGTAATTTGAACATCTGTCTAAATTTCTGATTGTCTTCTAACCCATAGTAATAAAAACATAACGGAAAGTTGTGTAGTGTAGGTGTATATTTTTCACTTTGTAAAATATAAGCCTCATTTCACGTTGATGAGCTCCAGACAAAATGTAGGCTGTGTGTTCTCTCCATTTACATTTCGTGTGACATCTAGCGTCTCCTGAGATTTTAGAACAAAAGTCTAATGTGATTTATGTCCTCACATCATTTGTAAACTTGAAGGTACAATAATAAATTTATAGTCAAAACTTTGTCATAGGATTTTGGTTCCAATAAGATGTGTCAGAATAACTCATTGTCCCTTGCTTATCCCGATGGAAAACGAATATGATGAGATTGCTTCCTCTGTGTTCAAATTTTGAAAGTTTTAGTTGAATCATTTCTCAATTTTTATTGTTTGACGTTTTATAAGATTTTTGGTTTCTGAACTTCATCTGATATTATAGTTGCATCTGTGCTTTAACTATGAAATGCAATGATATTTTTGGTCGAAACGTAGGTATATGTTTAGTTTTCTTATATTTTCACCTTACACAATAGTGCTTTAATTGGGCTTCCTCTCTTGTTATGATCATAAAAATTCGTTACACGCATCGACATAAATTACACATAGTTTGAGAAAATTACTATTTCTTCGGATAATTATATCTATGAACAAATTTATATTAAGGATAAAGTTTCTTGATCTTAACCCTGATTACTAAATTCATTAGGGACCAGAAATTGATAAAATTTGGTACGGTAGAGGTTATTTACTGATTTATTGCGTAATTTGGTCGGTATGTGACCTTTATAAGTTATTCAATTTTAAATAATCAGGACGTAGATTACGTCGATGAGCTAATAGCATCAAAAGTAACTACCATGTATAATTTAGGATATTACCCTTTTTAATGGTGACAATAGGATATACTCAGCCAATAATAGAACAATGAAACTTCTGAATCTGTTTAATTTCAATATATTTTTACGAAATCCAGTAGAACTAAATTCCACTCTTAACAGTCTCCTTTTAATTTTAGATCCTCATCATCATCAAAATGCTGAACAAGAACATTGCTATCGCTGTCGCCGTGGTGTTGGCTCTGGTCTGCCTGGCAGAAGCCAGGGAGGAAGGCCCTCACGACATGGCTGATGCTCTCCGTATGCTGCAAGAACTGGATCGCTACTATACCCAGGCCGCTAGACCAAGGTACGTTGGTTTTTAGAAAGCTTTTGCTTATCAATAACCATTTTAAATGTGAAGCAGGACTGGTAAGGCGTGATAGAAATAATTCAGATGATAAAAGAGCTAATACCATAAAACATGAAATGGTCTATGGGATTAAGATAAATTAATATGCAACAGAAAGAGATGATGACATGGTGATCATAAAATTGCAAGTACTGCTATGTCTTTACCTTTTTTTGGCTTCATATTTGAAATGGTCTCGTCCGTAGATGTAGTTTTACAAGGTATCAGCGACGTTGGCAATGGATACGTTAAACTGAGAATTTCCTAAGTTGCATCAGTGCCAGTTATTGGAGCGTTTGGACTGAAATGGATGGAACAGGTAATAAATGGTGTTCCTACGTATGTATTATGGATTTTATTGTAATGATATAATTTTGTACATCAGTTTATGAATGAAATACACATGTAACGACAAACGTTCGTAGTAAAAGTTGGTAAACATAAAAGTTTTGCTTTTTATACACTCGTGAAACTTCAATTCAGTTTAAACAAAATAAGTTTTACTTAGTTTAACTTCACCTTGAACGGTGTTCACGATGCGAGGAGAGTGAAATCGAAAAAGTTTTCTTTCCAAGTTTCTATATAAAGTAGCTTCCTTACAACTGCTTTGTTCAGCTTCAATCCCTTGGACAAACTCATTAATTTCCTTTAATTATGTACTCCAATCAATCATTACTTTGCTTTGAACTTTATCAGTGTCATTTATCAATTTTAAAATACCTGACAACTGTTCGAACAAAAAGACAATCTGTTTAATTTTAAACTTTTTGGATACTGGAATAAGGTGTTGTTCTAAACAATACTTTTAATGTAATTGAGTTTCTTTTCTATTGGAAAGATATTACAGATTCTATTTGATTTCACTCACGGATTTAGATTGCCTCTAACCTTGTGAAAACCTTTTAACCAAAAATAAATATAATCTTAACTACTTATTTTAATCTTTTCCACCCTAAGAGGTTTTAATAGGAAAAATATTTGCGTCACACACTTTAATGCCTTCAATACACTCGACATATTAAAAGGAATCTGTGAGCTATCGCAGTTTGTCATCGTTTGATAGATTTTTAAAACTGATATTGTGTCTTACGTCACTTGTAGAAGAGTTCTTGTTACCACGATGATATTGATCTCATTTGTCTACTAATTCTATTATTAGATGCTAAAACTTAATAGTTTTGGAATCAAATTTGACTTCATAACAAAAAAAGATAAAGGTAAAATAAAAACATTCATAAAATATAAAGATTTCACAATGATTACTCATAAATTTTCGTGAGACATACTAAATTAAAGTACCTCTATTATGTTCTTCAGCTTACACATGTAACAGTATGAGCTTCTAGTATGGTTTGAAATTAGTCGAGTTCCTCAATAGACAGTTACGTGGGTAAGCTGGCAAATGTATTAATTATTGTACTGAATCGTCTATTCAATCGTAGGAAGTTTGTTATTGTTGTATAAGTCAAAATATACAAAACGTATATGTATTTTTTTTGCTTCGTATTCTTACTATGTTATGGAAATATAATACTCATTATCTCGGCTCATTTTGCCTCATTATTTATAACTATTTGCTATGAGAATATTCCCTGTTTATATTTCTGTGTCATATGTCAATTTTTTTGGTACCTTTCATCATTACCTAAATACCAATTTGGTTTAAACCATGAATAGAATTGGTAGCACTACCACATTTTTCCGAGAAAACGAACCGTTTGCTTTTATTCAAAAGTAGTTTTAGAAAAACCTTGTCAAAACATTTAGGCTATAAATACGGTCCAAATGTTTGCTTAAGAAGTTTTTAATGTCAACCAATTAACTTCACATCCATCAGTATCGGTTACAGCCACAATAAATCTGTAACTAGCCACTCAAAATTCAATCTTACTCCTTTGACTCTAAAATAGATTTGACCGCAGAACCAATTTTGTTGTTGACCAATTTGCCTTTGTTGCTTGAGGTGATTTTCTGTTGGGCAAAGGCGTGACATTGCATGGGATTGCAATAGGAAGATTGGACACGATGTTAGGGGAAAATTGCTTACGAAGCGTCGACATGTACACAAGTCATAACCAGTATACACTGACCGTTGAATGTGGACGAAGATCATACCATGCAAGACCATGACAAATTGGTTTTGTATAGTTCGACGTGTAGCCATGTGTCTATACAAGTTGAATGAGGTCTTTGTTAGTAAATTGCAGTTTGCTTCCACTTCGGTGTTGACAATGGTAAGCTTCTTAGTTTTTGTAGCTGTGTAGGAGGCAGTATTTACATTGTTACAAGTATTGCTAAGTGATATGTAGTTATCATAATTGTATCTCAAGATCGCTTGGTCTTGATGTGATTATGGAATGAAAACCAATCTTCTTCATCGCATTGGTTGATATTGAAAAAATATTTCGAGACTTTTCTTGTTTTAATTTGTTTGTCTGTCTTTGGAGTTTGCCAGTGACCAGAAAACGATGCAGTTTATTTACACAAAATTCAAAGAAAAAAATTGTGATATCAAATTAAGGTTGATTTTTTTTGGAAATAGTTCATTTAGATAAGTTATTGGATTTGAATTACTTTAACATTTATAAAAACTGTGTAAGCTTCTAAGAGAAAATCCTTTTACTATTTGAAGCTCGTACTAGGAAAGACGATAAAGCAATAAATTTCATTTAAGTACGACTCAATGTATTCCAAAGAAAACTTAGCTAGATGAATTTTCGAAGAAATCAAGTATTATATATACATTACATTTTTAAAAGGATTTCTAAAGATAAAGATGTGTTTCAATAAATAATTTAGTTGAAGGAAAAGATTGGACCACTGTGTAAACACGCCTGAGATTTTATTTTAAATGTTTGCATTGAGCTTCTAAAACATTAACTTCTTCCTCAAATGCCAATAGCATCCCGGATTAAAGAGTTTTTGATGAAACATTTGCTCTTGATGTATTTGGGTCAAAAGCATTAAAGCCAACAGCTGTAGATGATAAATCCGGTAAGAAATTCAATTAAAACGATCAAAATAAACTTTTGAAAGATATCTTAATAAAATTAAATATGAAGTTTCAAAAGTGCCTATATAATTATGTGAATTAATACGTTTTAACGTGTCGCGGTGGCCGGGAGGTATAAAACGTCCGTTTCTCATAGGCACATACAGAGCGCGGTTTCGAAAACTACTAACGGCAGTACCAATGTGACTTTTTCCGAGTTATATGTAGTTTTTAAGGTTATCTAGATATCACGGACAAACGGTGAAGATAATCGCGGGGAAACCTGGACTTATAATTTCTAATTACCAATACGCATTGAGCAAGCGTGGTGATTAATGCTCAAACCTTCTCCGTGTGAGATGAGGCTTTGCTCAGCAGTGGGCACTTAAATTGATGATAATGATGATGATGATAATGAATACTTTTTTACAATTTTCAGAATTCAGCCTGATAATAGGAACACACTATAAATACATACATTTCATTCAATCCATATTTCGAAAAGTTGTACACCATATTAAGTCTTGTGTGCGGAATAATTTCAAAATGGAATTTAAAGGTGACCAAAATTGTGTCTCAAAGGCGTTAATAAGAAGATCCTTAACCAAGTTAGCACAGGACAATCTCATTACTTCCTAGTCCATGTGGATACAATTATAGAAGTTTCGAACTTTAGAAGTGTACTTCTGAGTTGTGTCTTTGTAAGGAAAACAGTATTACCTGGATCTTGTACAGGTTTTGCTATAGTGTGTATATTGTATTTTGAAAATAGGTATTTTGTTTGGTGTATTATCTAGAATTCTAGACCAAATATATTAAGAAAAATTGGTGTTCCTTTGACCCAAAACACGGAATAAATAAGAAAAAAAATCTTGATTTTTTTCCTGTGCATATTTTAGTAGTGGGTTTAAAATCGTGTCTAGTGTCAGCCATTGGACTTATAAATTCTTGAAATTGGACGTTAGGTATAATACCTACACATCTTTGTCTTTGCCTCTATATTTGTTTCGGCATATCTTCTCAGAATAGTCAGTTAGGAAATATTGGGCTCATCGTTCGCTTAATAAAATTGACGTATAAAAGTGCTACCTTGTAGCCAATTTGCAAAAATATATGCACTCGTTTCACCTGTTCCAGTTTGTCTTGGACAATTCCTATGTTATGCTATTCATTCGTAGGTAATATTGGTAATAGAATAGAATAGAAAGTTGTTTATTTCCCTAGTTCATATGTTATAATAATGTCCGCAGGTTGATGGTGTGTTGGACCTGTGGTTGTGTCAACTACTTACAGTCTATCTATGTTTGTCTAAGAGAGATCTATATAAGTGTTGTGTAGTGTGTGCTGTGAGTTTGTGTAGATATAACTTATAATATAAATTAAATGTGTAGTTCCATGTAATATTGGTAGAACATCCAATCCTCTGACCTATACAAAATTTAAATGTCAACCTTCATAATAATAACAGACTTGATTGATAGAGTTTCACTGTCTGTCTTTGTGGTGACTATCTCATGCATAACAAGTGGAATGCATTCGTCATAACAATACCGTCATGGGTGATGTTTCTAAGACAGTTTCGTGAGTGCATGTAGGATTACAGATTAATATTGTTGTGTCGGTCTTGCTGTGGTTATTGTTCAAGTCATCTGAAGTGTTACGACTCAATGCGTAGGTACTGTGTAAGTCATGTGGTGACAATATTATTTTTATCATAAGTTTCATAAGGTATGCCTCCTCTATAGACTTGTGACTATGTACGTCGTAGTCCTATGACTACGATATTTGGCAGAGACACAAGGACGTTAAAAAAAATGCGGACTCCGTATCTTGAAACAACGGCTGTGGCACCTGATTACTATAGAGTTACATGCAGAACATACACACATTGACACGAAGGACAGCTGTTATTTTCTTAACCCGTCGAGCGTCCGCGTTCCTTATGATCCAACGGGTGCACACGTGA